TAAAATAAACGAATAGATAATATTGGTTTATTTGGCTTTTTTAAGAAAATATATAACAAAATTAAGATACGGTCGATTTTTTTTATTTTTGGATAGAGTTTCCTCCAACTTCTCCAAATCTTCGACAACACCAGAAAAGACATCGATTACATTTTAATTAAGGACGAATATCTCGTAATATAAAGATTTGTATACATACCACGCATAACCGGTACTGTAAGAATATCCACTATCCCGTGTCATCCCATGAGTGTGGTAATTGGCGAACGAAATCGAACTAGGAGATTCGCGGCAGCATCTTTCTAATAACAAATGAATAAAAAATACCAAACTGCGGTTTTCCAACCCGCTTGACTAATAACTATGGCCAATATCCCCCTGAGACAATCTATAGCGGAACTTTGGTTAGGCTGTAATGGTAATACATAAGCGTAAATGCACTTATTTACTATCACTTTTAGCTCAAAAAGAAGAGATATTTGTAAATACTATAATTTTGACATTGTGAAATTTGAGTTTAAGCTCGAGATTATTTCTGGATACTGGCCTTAAAGTAATTATCACTAAAAGTAGATACAAAGCCAAGTAAAATCATGCATAGAAATAAGATCTATTATCCCTTGACAAGTTCTTCGGATATTGTGTTATGAACGCTTACATTAATACCTCTTTAATATTGACTTACGTATATGGACAATGATATATTTTTAAATGATGAATCATTATAATGACTAATATTCAAATGATCTCGCGAATCGCGAATGAAAATGATTTGGCGATACAAAAATTGCAATTCATGAAATCGAGCGAGCTTTACTAGCGGTAAACACGTATCTATACGTACACATCATCATCACGTATCATCTACACGTATACGTGTCAAAGTGTGCGTGAGCCCTATAGCGGGTATGGTTAGCGACGGCACGCTCGCTTCGACTGCAACCGTTACGGAAAGTCTCCAGAGGCCCCGTCACGTTTTAATTGAACCCCCATTTTCTCTAGACTCTAACGAAATAAATGACGTTGGCCACCACACACCAACACTACACACTCTCCTAGTATTACAAACACTGTTAGGGCACCGGATGGAACCGCAGACGGGCGCGCCTCGCATCCCTCCACACCGCATACACACCGGACCCCGTCCCCAGGACGTCGAACGAGTTAGCCATCATGGCCGGGGACAGCCATCCACGGTTCGAAATGCCGTTAGATAACTCATCTGTGTGCACTTACTGTCGTAGGTGAACATCGTTACACATGTAACAATATGTAACGTAATTAACGCACACCCTCAGACACCCCAATTAGTATATTAGATATATAATCTAATATACTATTATCAATCAAAAAAATCTAATATACGAATATCATAATACATACACTGAATTTTTAGTTAAACATTTTTATGCACTGATTATTTATCAAATTAGTTATACTAATTCCGGAAGAATGTTGTGGTCACAGTACAAATCCACGAACGCAAAGACTTTAACGTGCTTGAAATAAAGTTCATTTTTCTTTATTTTTATTAAATGACAGAATTAGTAATAATACAAATAAAACTGCACTCTTAAAAGTCTTATTGCCTTAAGTTACGGTCCATTTCAGTTTGTTTTGATTGTACAGATTTAGTGTGACTGTAATTTACGTAGTTTTAATTATTTTTGGGATAAAAAATTACCTATAATGAAAATGATAGGAATCGATTCAGTAAACGATTCTGAACAAACTACTTTCTCGAAGTGCGTTAATTATGTTACGTGTTGTATATAGAATCACACTATTTACAGCTGCCGAGCCCTGCGACCGATAAAACTGTAAAAGGCAAAAAGGCTAACAGCACTGACATCGTCCGAAACTAAAAAAGGCACGCTCGCAACTGATCGCTCTGTCACACACGCACACCAGCGCAATGTGCACGTTAAGTCCGCACGTTCTATGTTGGCCGAGCTGAAGTTAGTCGTGAGTGGCTGCGCAGATATAGTTTTAGGAACAAAATGATGACATATATACACATATTGCTCGTTTATAATTAAGTAAATACTCGATTATCGTTACGGTCGCCACGATCGGATTTCGTACATGCGCGAATGTCTTGGAGAGCCAACTTCAGTCCGGCCAAGATACAAATCGCGGACTTTACACGTTCAATTACGAGTAAAGTCCGCTCGACTTCATGCTAGATAAGAGCTATAAGATAATATAAAACCACATCGATATATATCCAATAGTATCACGATACAATCTAAATACCAATAATGGTGACACAAAATATGTAAACACTGTAGTTATATGAAGAAGGGACGAAACCATTATTTCACATAATTACTAGGCTTGCAACGAATATTCGGCTAATATTCGATATTTGTCCTATTCGGTTACATTTATCATATTCTGTCGAATACCGAATATCTAGGTACCATTCGGCCGAATACCGAATACTTAAGTAAAATGTTTTCTTGTAGTATTTGTGAAATGAAAATATTGATTTATTTTATAATAATGTATTTTTCTTATAATCATTAGTCATAGTTATGGTTAGTAAACCTTCGTATTATAAAAATTAACAAAAAAACTATCAAATAAATGTCTATGTATTTGAATTATCTTAATTAAAATTTAGAAGTGGAAGATCATAATCATTAAGAAAGACAAACTTTTCTGCGTTTTCAGGCAGTAGTTTATTTACTCATTTTCTTAGTCATTACCCAGTTTCAGACAAAAGACTCTCTGAGTAAACACTACTTCTTTCCCAGTCGAATATACTATACTGTTCCTTGCAAGTCTAATAATTACTATTTAAAAAAAATAAAACCATCCTTATGAGTAACGCAATACAGTTCTATTTTGTTGCGACAATATTACAACCCCGGTTTAAGTTCCACAATTTTATAAAATAGTTACTTACAGTTAAAACTACATATGACAGTAAAACCGTGTTACATCTAACTTAATAATCATGTCTACAGTGACTTACACAACGATAACTTATACTACAGTTTGTGTACTGTTCAGAACAAAAAGAAGTAAAGTCGAAAAATAATAGCTTTTAAAAATAAAAATATATTACTAAAAACTGTGTTTTTGGAAAAATTATCACAAAAATGACACAAATCTATTATTGTCATACATGCATACATAAAGTGGAAGATATATATAGTTATACACCTAGAAGACGTAGCTGTTTTCTAAGATATCTAGTCGTATCTAGACAAGTCTGAATCAATTTAAAAAAGTTACCCCCTAATGGAATTTCTCACGTATCCAGCACCGTGTAAAGTTCAGTATAAGAGCAACCTGTTTGATTTCTGGTGGTAGCACAATGAAAATTGTTCAATGCAATTGTTAATGTTGTTTACCACGTGCGGAAAAGTTTGTAAATAAGTCTGAGAGGGTTTTAGGGCAAGAAAAACTTCGCCGCGCTACCATAAGACGTGTTGGATAACTTCATGTGTCTTCAAAATATTTTTATAATTTCTTAGACAGCCGGTTTCCTCACGTTTCCCTTCACCGCCGAGACGTGGTAAATTAGCACTTAAAATTGCAAGGAACAATTTCATTTGTGCCAGCGGGGAACCTACAGCTAGTGCTAAACTCCGAAAACTGTAAAACAAAACGCAAAATAAGTTTTAGGCCGCAGAAGGAAAACGGGAGATCTCCCGCTGTACAAACGGCTGTATTTCGGAACTTTGATAACTTGATTTGGGCTTCGGTGCGTTTCGCTTATGGCGCGACAACAGATCCAGCCAAGTTCTTAAACATTTTCAATAATTAATTTAAATTCCATCGAATAACTTTTACATTTGCTACTTAATTAAACGATGTTACAAGAAAAAATAATTAATTAATGACAAATTGTTTGCATATTCTTAAATTGGAACCAATAGTTGTTACAATTTCCGTCAGTTTCTAAAGTTAAATTCGTTGATTTATGAACAAAATTACTTAAACTTACTAACCCTAACCTTTTTGTCTTTGGGGGCAAGCAATAAATTACATCACACGTTAGGGGGGGGGGGACAACAAAATTTGACAAGGGACAGAGGTGGCTAAAAGCTGTGACGTCACATGTTAAAATATAAAATACTATAAGGCGAAATTTATATGGCAGTGATAAACAATATCGAGGTGTGGGTCCAGAGTCCGTCGCATCAAGATGAATGTTTTTTTATGAGAAGTTTCGTCTTTTATTAACATTATTAATCGTTTATCTTTCTTTAATTGGTCTTTTGTTTTGTCCATTATCTAAAATATTTGACTTTATTTTGATTTTATTAACGTTTATTTTTAATTTAAATAAAAAAATTGGAAAAACTCTGGTTTTAATTTAATTACTTATGAAATATAAAATTTCCTTTTGAAATATAAAGGTTCCTGAGGGCACAAGTGTGACCACCTATGAAAAGGACGGGGGAAGGGGTAAAAAACCATAAAATTTGTGTGACGTAATTTATGGATGACCATTTAAAGAATAACCTACTTATGCATTCAATTAAAAATGGCGATGGAAATAAGGCTTATCTTATAGAACAGTACCTGTACCTTACAAAGATATGCAGCAGTTTTAACAAATCTAAAATATAAAAACTATAGGCTTTTAAAATCACTTTTTTTTATATTTCTCGGCGTTAGAAATGGCCATGGAGAAAATATCCCTGCAATCCGAAGTTCATTATTTTATACACAAATTAATTAAATTAACTTGCATAACATGCTATTAAATATCATGAGTTATTTTGTATGATTTTTTCTATGACTAACTATAATATTAATACTAATCTATAATATTGACGTTAGTATGAGACTAACATCAATATCATAGATTAAATTCATTGAGTAGATCAGATATAAAACCAATTGTTATTGTATATTTTGAGCACTATAGTTCCACTAAAGAAATTAAATTTGGTACTGAAGGAACAACTTTTATAAACAAGGTAATATTACTACATAACAAAATATAACATTTTTCTTAGACTTTATGAGGAAGACAGAATTCAGTCGGGGAAGAATAAGTTGGCTTCCCTGCCGCAGCGCTCCTGGAACAAAAAATGATTACTTGATCAATCAACATATATAAAATAACAAGTCCTGATTCACTCACTGTAACCATACATTTACTCACTGACTGATCAAAGCCTAGTCCAAACCCTTGCACATAGAAAGCCGTAATTTTGCACAGAGGTTCCATATATAATGAACACAAGCTTAAGCTTATTTATCTGTTAAATTTTACATGTAACTAGGTAATTAAAAACACTAATAATATAATCTTTACCTATGAATTTGCCGTTCTGGAGTACTAGCAATTTCAAATCAAAATAATTGTTGTTTGGCTAAGAATTATAATATCAAATTAATTTTATTTTAAAAGCTTGGTATTCTTTTTTTTAAATTAGTTTTTTTTTTAAATTAGTCATTTGTTTATTTTCATCGTATTTGAATCTTTTTCATCATCGATACGTTACAAATTCGCGTAATTACGGAATATGAGTACCGTGGTACCAGCAACCCGACACAAGCGGCAAGCAACATCAAGGAAGTTTACGGAGCGAATACTATACTACAAGTGGACGCAACACCTGTTATTGGTTTGCCCGCTTCCGTTCGAGAAATTTCGACTTAAACAAAAGAATTTTTTTGTATAGAAGTACCCGTTTATATATTTATTATTTATCCTATATTATATATTAAGTAAGTATGTATATTTTACTAACTATGTATCTATTTTATTCATTTGTATTTTATTTTGTTTTATATCCTTATTGTTTATTTATGAAGTCATTGATTACACCTGCCACAGTTTCTCAAATCATCCAGGGTTGACTGGCAGAGAATGCCATAAGGCATTAAGTCCGCCCTTTATATCCCTTAGTATATAAAGTGTATAATAAAGATTAAATAAATAAATAAAATAAAAATTTGGTGGACAAGGACAAATTAAAGTCGATTATGGAAGCTGACGATACTCGATCTAAGGCTGAATTAGCAGTAGCTTTCGATGTTAGCATCAAAACAATATTGGTCGATTTGCATCAAATTGGCAAGGTAAAAAGCTTGACAAATAGGTGCCTCACGCGCTGGCGATCAATTGAGTGAACGCCAGCGCGAATTACGCGCCGCGACGTGCCTCGTACTGCTCAACATTTGGTTCGGATTCATTTGCTCGGATTCAGTTTGAAAACCGCAAGTGCTCAGCAAGTTGGTTGGACCCTGGTTCTGCATCTAAACAATGCCCTAAACGATAACTTACTCCCAGAAAAGTGATGGTCATTGTTTGGCGGTCTAGCGCCAGTGTTATTCATCACAGCTTTTTACCAAACGGGATAAACATTACTGCAGATGTGTACTGTGAAGAACTGAACACAATGATGGAGAAGTTCGCACGTCTCCAACCAGCTTTGGTCAATCGCTCGTCCCCGCTCCTCCAGCACGACAACGCGCGATCTCATATTGCACAACAGTCTCCAAATCACAAGAGATGTGATTGGAAGCTCTCCGTCATCCGCCGTACTCACCAGACCTTGCGACTACAGACTTTTACTTTTTCACAATTTGGATAACTTTTTGGCGGGAAAACAATCCAATACCCGAGAGGCCTTTGAAGAATTTGTTATCTCAGCTGATTTCTTCAAGAAGAGCATCAATAAACTACCACTGCGTTGATGCATCGATTGCATGGGTTTGATTAATAGAAATAAAAAAAAAAACGTTAAATTATTTCATAAAATACGGCAGTTTCATAGGTAAAGACCTAACGACATTTTTTAAGATTTCGAATAACCAAATAAAAAGATATTTCGAATAATTTCCACGGGATAGGGAAATAATTTATATTTTCTTTATAAAGTTGCCTTTTTTGTTTGATCCGGTCCATGTGCAGTAATATAAAAACTCTTTGTATTTTATAAAATAAGGGTAACAAACTAGCACACAGTCTATCCGATGATAAGTGAATGCTGTTGCCCATAGACTTCACATCTCGATTAAGAATCAAAATGCAGATGCGTTGCCACCTCTAGGACTAAGATGGAATGCCCCATTTCCAGTAAAAAGGGTTTCTGGTTCTCTACAATCACCGCACGAAACACGACATCATTGAACTGCTATTTTATGCTATTATTCTATGAGAGCGAGGTCCTTCCCCCTTCGCACTTACGTGCTACAACCATAATATAGCTGCAGCATTACTCTACCACGTAAAAGTCATAAAAAGTTATACACAACAATAATAATAATAATAATGTGAAAGCATGATGGGCGTGGCTTTCTGAGCGCGCTCACCATGCATAATCGCGAAGTGTGCAGCCTCCGTGATTACTTCCTGGCGAGATCGGATGATCCATTCTATAATGAAGTCATTTATAGTGATAAAGGGCTTACCCCTCTATCCTTAGCCCACGAGCAATGGCAGGACCCAGCAGTGCTTAGCATTTCCGACCGGGAGACCGTATGGAAGGAGAAGGAGCTCCACGGGAGGTACTACAGGGCTCTACATGAGCCCTTCGTAGATACAGTCGCCTCCCTCAACTGGCTATGTTTTGGTAACCTCTTCGGGGAAACCGAGGGTTTTGTCTGTGCGATACAGGATCAGGCTGTTAAGACCAACAACTATCTAAAATAAATATCTCTAATCAACTAAAGGATGGCACCGTCGACGTTTGTCGAGCTTGTCGCTTTCCCAGTGAGTCACTTAGGCATGTCGTCTCCGGTTGTTCGACGCTTTCTAACTCTGAGTACTTGCACAAGCACAACCTAGTAGCCAGAATTCTACACCAGGAGCTCGCTCTGAAATACGGTCTTGTGGACCAGAAAGTGCCGTATTACTAGTACTTGCCGGAAGCCGTGCTCAAAAATGACCGCGCTAGGCTCTACTGGGACCGGGCCATCATCACAAACAGGACTATTCTTGCGATTAAGCCTGATATTGTTCTGATGGATCAGACACAGTCAAGGATATTTTTGGTCGACATTACCATTCCGTATGACGAGAACCTCGTGAAAGCTGAAACAGATAAGCAATCAAAATATCTGGACCTGGCTCACGAGGTGACCGACATGTGGGGTGGTCTGCCGACCGAAATTATTCCTGTAGTCGTGTCTGCAAACAGGTTAATCCCAGCCAGCCTCTCGGGCCATCTGAGGCGACTGGGACTCCGTGACGGACCGCTCCGGGCTCAAATGCAGAAGGCGGTGCTCCTCGATACCGCCCGCATCGTCCGCCGGTTTCTTTCCCTTTCCCCCTAACCCTCGGCCGTTTGGTCTCCCCTGCCGAGGGCTTCCATCCGGTTGGACTTTTATTTATTTATGTATTATTTATGTTAGTATATTAAATATATATTTAAGTATATTTATTTTTCGTTTTATATATTTATCCAGCCCAACCAGATGTCATTACTCTATCAATAACCCAAATAATAATATCCTTCAGATCATATTTCGACAGTGTATGCTCTAACACAGGTGCACTCTCTATTCAACCTATTATACCTCTCTATTAAACCTCGTGGCCAGCGAATAAATTATATTTTCATTTTTTTTTTTAAATATAAAAGAGAGCACAAACTGGCATGCGGCTCAATTAATGGTATGTGTCGACCGTCGCCCATGAACAACTACAACACCAGGGGAATCGTAGGTGTTTTACCGTGCTTTAAAAAAAAAGTAAACTCTTTTCTGGAAGGTCCCTAAGTCGTATCGGTTCGGAGAGATCGCTGGTGGTAGTCGATTCCACAAGGAAGTTGTGCGAGGAAGAAAAATTCTTGTAAATCGCAAAGTGGTGGAAAATATTTACTACACATTCTTGTCATTTTTTGGCGTTTATTGATTAACTTGCTATAGAAATCCGCTTTATATGAATGATGAACACAAACATATACTGTATACACAGATTTCTAGAAAGCGTTTGACAAAGTTGACCATGAACTATTTCTTTAAAAAATAGCCTTTAATTGAATAAGAGGCAATCTACTAAGATGGTTTTCTTCATATATTTCAAATAGGACTCAGACAGTTGTTATAAATGGCCACTGCTCCAAAACCATAACAGTAACGTCTGGTGTGCCACAGGGATCTATCCTTGGTCCGCTGCTCTTCATCCTCTTTATAAATGACATAAAAGAATGTTTTAAGCACTCCAAATGTTTATTATATGCTGATGATCTGAAGGCCTATAAAACTATAAAAAATGAAAATGACTGTTTACTTTTTCAAGATCTTAATAATTTGAGTACTGTCTAAAAAATAAACTTTATCTTAGTATCCTAAAATGTTGAATAAAACTAAATTTACGGATTCTATCGCGTTTAATTAATTACTTTTACTTATTTTTAATTCCCGACGTTTCGGGTGCTTTACAGCACCCATGGTCACGGGGGGGACTGAGATGTTTGACGTCCCAATGTCATTGTTAGCCGGGCTACCTTCAGTTTTTGAATATTAATTTTTGGTCCGATTTACGCAAAACGAGCTTACAGTATCTTGAAGTCTTGCAGTGGTGTGCTTGGGTTTGGGTTTAATTTTGTTAATTATAGGATCCCAAGCAGATCAGAGCAGAGATGGGCAGCACCCAACCATCTTCTCTATTGAAATTAGGATGTTTTTTAATTTCAATAGCCTCGCGTATCATCCTTGGTAGGAATCGGTGTTCTTTTGCAAGGATTTGTGGTTTATCAAACCTGATGTAATGGTGGGGACGATCTTGAACATGTTCAAAGACTGCACCCGGAGACTGTTCCTGGAGCGTTGGTGCTTCACGTCCGCCATTATAACTTACGCAATGTACGCCGACGATGTGTGTTCGCAGTTAGTGCTTGCCGTACTAATGCCGGCAAACGCATACCACTGCGACGGTTTTAGATATAGACATTTTGCAACACCTTTACCCAAGGCCAAAAAACAACTACTGCTGCACTCAAAAAAAACATATATGTTATGATTTTTTTCTTTTATATATTATAAAAAAGTTCTTTTACTATGCATAAATATATTGTATAAGTTTAATTTTGTTTGTACTAAGCAAAACTAAGTAAGACGTGGATAACGTAGTTGATTGTACAACTAACCATTCAAATTCTAATTTAAAATTCTATTCTTTGTAATACTCATTGTACTATCATTTGTTGTCCCAAATAAATTTAAAAAAATTTTTTTAGAGATTTATTTGAACAAACAAGTGCTTTTTGACTTACATTGATAAATGAACTAATAGGTCTAACAAACATCAGTAAATATTCTTATAGTTCATGGTATATTGTACAAATAATTTTCGACCGTTCCCGTGAGCGAATTTGCGGGTACATCGACTAATTTAATAATATTACAAAAAGGTTACCTGATGTTGGCTGATGAGGTTGAGAGGCAGGGATTCTGTGCAGAACTCGCAGGGTATCACGGGTTGGATGTGCGCGTTATCAAGCGGAGGTGACGGCTGCCGAGCAGGACGGAATCGAGCCAAGTCCGGTCTGCAGCCAGTCTGCAAGAAACAAAACCTGGTAATAGCACCAAGATGATAATTTCGTAGCAGATTTGGACAACATACATACCTACAAAATTTTACGAATTGCATGCCTTAAGCGCAAAGCGCGAACGTATGTTCTAATAGCACCTAAAAATCAAGAAACCGACGTTTTGTCGCATGAAATCATATCTAACAATCATATTGAACATATAAATGCTATAAATGCTAGTTATATTAGTAGTATAGTTGTAGCACTTGGGTCGGCTCGACCGGGGAAGGACCACGCTTTAACAGAATACCAGCGTCAAATAGTAGCTTAATGCTGCTGTGTTTCGTATGGTGAGTGTAGAGAACCAGAGACCCTTTTTACTGGAAACGAGGCATTCCACCTAAGTCCTCACAGATGACAACACATCTGCAATTGGATTCGTAATCGAGGACAGATGTAGATGTTTATGGGCCACAGCAACCACTTACCATCAGGTGGACTGTTTGCTCGTTTGTCATCCTATCCTATAAAAAATAAAATAAAAAGCAATGTGCTTGTTAGTAAGTAAAAAAGTAAATTACTATATCGTCACTGTTGAACTATTTTTTTCAAGAAATGCGTTCGATTAATTGTTCAAATATTTTTTTTATTAACATGCAGTTTCCCTCACTGTTGCCTCAAACCTACAACACCCACGGCGTGATATGGTGCCGTAGTGGTAGTAAGAAAGTTTATTTACAGCGAGCGTCACTACACGGTCAATTCGCCATGTACTGTTTGTACCTCACTATGGTGTTTAAATGTTCTGGGTCTAGTTATTTTTCCATTTTCTATTCATATAATACCGCATCACAATATTGGAGAAAATGTATGTAATACATAATATCTGAAAGAAATACGTATAGTATGTACGTTGCCTGAAACAAAAATGAAGGACTATTATTTCATAGAGAAAATAATATTACCTGATGTTGCACCAAGTCCTCGGCGATTATAGGGATTCCGCAAAACTCACAAGGTAGCTGGACAATCTGCAACTCCTCAACTCCCCCAGCTGCTTCATCATTTTCCGTTTCGTCTTCATCTCTATCATCATCTGAACTAATGCTTGCTGATGATTCTAATTCATCTCGTACACTCTGCTGTACTCTGTCGTTACCTCTTTCGTTGTCACTATAAGATAAAAATTCAAAATATGAATACACAGAATTACCATCGTGAAATAGTAGCTTAATGCTGTTGTGTTTCGTATGGGGAGTGTAGAGAACCGGAGACCCTTTTTACTGGAAACGAGGCATCTTAGTCCTCACGGGTGATCACGCATCTGCATTTTGATTTGCAATCGAGGATAGATGTAGATATGTATGGGCCACAGCAACCACTTACCATCAGGTGGACTGTGTGCTCGTTTGTCACCCTATCCTATAAAAAAAACAGCTTTAAAACCACTACAGAGAGTAGACTTCCCCACAGACCTCCAGAGCAAAATAAATAGAGGACAAAAAGAAACAAAAATCGCCCCGAGACTTCTTTGAACATTTCACACTGCTCCCGATACTTTCGGAGTTGTCTATCCATACTGTGTAAAATTCCCCGTAAACTTTTTTTTCTATATATTTCTGGTTTTTTGAAAGGAAATTTTAAGAGATTTTAATGAATACTTACTTAATATTATTATTACTGTTCAAATTTACGTTGTATGGGGCTGTCACCTGCAAATCACAAAACATATTTGTTCATACTGCCAATGTCAAACACATAATAGTCTATGGTCAAACAGTAGCACCAAAGAGTATACAATCACTACGTTTTAAACTGCAAGAAGTAGAGATTGTCACCAAAGAATTTTAAAATGTTGGCAAGAAATCTGTGAATTTTGTGTGACATCAAATGTGCCCTTTTCAATACTTTATGGAATGCATGTCAAGGCAAAAATCGTTTATTTTATATTTTGTATATTAGATTATCTGTATATAAATTATATATGTGCAGTTGAAGTAAATTACAGCTTGCTTAATATATAATCTTAAAAATTTTATGTATTACGGTCGAATTTCTATCCTGATATCACTTTATCAAAATTTATATAAATAATTTTATATATTACTGTAATCAAAATCGCCCAAAAGTAAAAGGAGGAAAAGTATTTACCTCATTTAAGCCTCTCCTCAATTCCTTTAAAGAGGACTTAATTTCGCTGAACCTATCTCCCCTATCCTCTCTACTCGGCTCCCCACCATCTCTAGAATTCTTCCGCAACTGCAGCTCTTGAAACCTGTTAATAAACTCTTCCGGTGTCATAGGTTTGAGATTTCTGAAATCATCTCTTCTGTTTTCCACTTCTACATCTTGTGGCACATTTATATTTTTCATTTGTGAGTAACCAAGCACGTGACCTATATTCTCTAGCACTGGACGTGGCCATCCTTGGAGAGGTTTCTTCTGATTCGGGTCTGGTATTTCACGGTTGTGTAAAGCGTCCATTTTACGAAGCCTGTCTATCTTTTCTGCAGGAGTAAGAACTGGAGGCAATCCTGTTAAAAGGAAGTCGATAACAAAAAATAAATTAATCATCATCATCACACCATCATTACACTCCATCACAACAGCCCACCGCTGAACATAAGCCTTCCCCAAGGAATGTCACTAAGCACAGTGCTGAGCCACCTGCATCCACTGACTTCCTGCATCTATCAACAGGTCGTCACTCCCATCTAGGGCTGCACTTTTTTATCGCGGTGATAACTCCATGGATACCTTCAGCTTCTGGGGCAACAAAAGGGTTACGCTAGGCTTCTCTACCGGATGGAGACTAACAATAAAAGTAAAGTTACAGCCTATATACGTCCCACTGCTGGGCACAGACCTCCCCTCATTTCTTAAAGGGTTTTAGGGCAAGGAAGTGTCCGCCACTCTACCCCAATGCGTGTTGGCGAACTTCACATGTCTTCGAAATATTTTTTTCTTATTCCTTAGACATGCAGGTTTCCTCACGATGTTTTCCTTCACCGCCGAGCACGTGGTAAATCAGCACTTAAAATTGCAATTAACAATTTCATTGGTGCCGGCGGGTATCGAACCCGGGTTACTCGCGTTCTGTTATATTTACAGTGAGCGGTAACCATGTGAGCTACCACGGCTCCACTAGTCTAACAATGGTCACCATCAAATATAGTGGTCATCATCATTTGGAACGCATCCGGGGCCCCCCCTTCACTAGCGTAAAACTGAAAAATAACGCTGTGTTTCGTATGGTGTGTCTAGAGAACCGGAAACTCCTTTTATGTTTGTTTGGGTTGTCGCCAATGTAAAATTATGTCCATTAAATACCTCTATCACACTGGAGAAATTACGACAGTTAGTTTTAAGGAAAAAAAATACATACCAACGGACAAGTTGTAAGCGTTTATTTCCTTCAGGCGTTTCTCTTCTTCCATTTTACGTCGCAAAGCACTTTGGTAGGCCAAGTCCCTTTCTGTTGGTACTGCTCGGGAACCACCAAAAGGTGTAGCATTTGAGACTCCACTTAGGGCTGTAGAAAAGCCTCCGGAGGTTCTTTGCGGTGAACCAGTGAAGGCAGCTGTTGTTGAAATGTTAGTTCCAGTTGAGGTTACACTAGTAGTTGATGTAGACAATAGACTAGGGCTTGGAGAAGAGAATGCATTTGAAGCAACAACTGTAGACTTAGAGGCTGATGTAGAAGTAAAGGGACTGATAGATGCTGCAGCAGGTGAGCCACTGCAACCAGCAGTGTAAGATGAACTGTTTGCTGATGGGTTTGTGCAGGGTGGCTGGGGCGCTGGACGCTTCTTAACTGCACCGCTGGATGAAGGCCTGAAACAAAACCCGAATCATCTTAAGATCAAGAAGCCGTCTGGTATTTGGTAACAATTTCAAAATTCAACTCAAGCTTCAGATTTAAATTTGTGTTTTGACATTGTTGTTTAAACTCCAGATTGTCCCCGGATACAACCCAAGCACAATAATATAATATAATTAAACGTAGTAGAGCCATGCTGCAGTTATATTAGTAGTATAGTTGTAGCACGAATGGGTCGGCTCGACCGGGGAAGGACCACACTCTCACAGAATACCAGCGTGAAATGGTAGCTTAATGCTACTGTGTTTCGTATGGTGAGTGTAGAAAACCGGAGACCCTTTTTACTGGAAACGAGGCATTCCATCTTAGTCCTCACGGGTGACAACGCATCTGCATTTTGATTTGTAATATGTAGATGATAGATATAGATATGTATGGGCCACAGCAACCACTTACCATCAGGTGGACTGTTTGCTCGTTTGTCATCCTATCCTATAAAAAATAAAAAACCTACCTACACACCTATAGGTGTAAAGCAACCGTTGACAACGGATATTTATCCACAGCAGCCGATACGCAACTGTTGTCAACCAGCTGTTTATCCGACTACAGACGAAAAACGATGGTTGTGTTTTTACTGTGTGTGTGGGTGGCTAAGCTGAATCGCTCTTTGCATGCTTTTTTTAACCCTTAACTTTACACATAATATTGGTGTCCGTGTGACTTTTCTGCATTAAAAAAATATTAAAGTAATACCCACTGCTTGTTTCATTGTAAAGTGTTGCTGGTTTCATTCAATAAACTATTCAAAAAATTTTGAAACAATACTAATTCTAGTATTTTTCACAAAACATGTATTGTTGAAGCCCTGTATCTCTTGATCCCATTCCGAGCTCCAATGATAGAAGCTGTATGTATTAAGACATTATAAACTCCCAGGTTTGATAATTTTTTGAAATCTTTAAATTGCATATTGTGTAGCATATCATATTAAAGCCCCATTCAACAGCTTTAAAATAACCAAACATGAAACAAGACAAACATGAAATTTTTTCATAAAAATTTAAATCTTTAAAAATTTACTTCAAAAATAATTGTGCTACATAACTATACATATTCGGTATTTCATAATTCTGATATATTGCTACATAAAAAAAAATCATGAAAATCTGAGACATCAAGTCTGAATCATTTTGATTTGACATGGAATGACCAGCTGGTATCCTGTGAGAGTGTGATCCTTCCCCGGTCGAACGGACACAGTCGACACATTATGGCACAACTGTGCTACAACTATAACTACAAATATAACTGCAGCATGGCTCTACCACATATAGATCTTAATTAAGAAAATTAGATCTTAATCGAGGGTATACATCTACCCTCAATTAAGATCTAATTGTCTTCATCAATCAGATCAACTTGCCTCAAAAGAGGGATATTTGCTATAGTTGCCATGCTACGCAGGCGAGCTAGCAGCTTTTCGTTATATTGAATTGTTATCAGAAAGATGCTGCTGTTCATCCTCCGTTTCAGTTTCCCCCTGTCGCCTCTTAAAATACCTACGGAATGATATAAGGTCATTGACTCTGCTACGCCGCCGCAGCATGAATCAGACTTAAATACTTACAAATCTTTAATAACATTCTTTTCCTTCGGCATCACATTTTTTTGTGTTTCATTATTATTCTTCTTTGACAGCAATTTAACGTTTGTATTGCCTTGGGGCCTAGACATATTGGGGTCTGTGCTTAACCCCGAGGAACCAGGGCCAGGATTCTCCATTGTGGTTGGATTATTGAAGAATCTTATTTCTGTTCTCGGTTGGTCTTGGGTTAAATTTATGTTTTTTAAGTAACCGTTCTTCGGAGGGCTGTCGTTGGAAACTTTGCTTGTAGATGGACTGGGTCTGTTCAAGGTGTTACTGTGGGTCGGCAGTTTGGGCCAGTCTCCCAGTTTGGGTACATCTGTGATCGCTTTCTCGTTTGGGTACATTTGTGATCTTTGCTGTTTCTCGTTTGGGCACTGGGGTAGGGTCTGTAAAATAATGGAGCACTTAAAGGGTTTTTGTTTAAAAAACTTTTCCCATTAAAAATCAAAACTAAAGTCATTTAATGGTAATCTAAACAAAATATTATGCAAGTAAATAATGTTAAAGTAATAAACATATGTTTGATATCTAATATATCAAAGTTATTGTAGTGGCTGAAATGACAATGAATCGGCCATATACTTCAAATAACCGAAAACCGATGGGAAAGAAATTTTCTCGAGTGACAGCCTCGCTCCGGTAGGCGAAGTGTAGGTCGTCCCCCCACTAGATGGAGTGGCGAGATTGTAAAAGATGCAGGAAATCGATAGATACAAGTGCTTTGTGGCATTCTTTGGGTGAGGCCTATGTTCAGCAGTGGACTTGTGAAGGGCTGTAATGATGATGATGATGATGATTCCAGTTGCTCACGCTGCAATCACTCGGCGATAATACATCATCACATTACGTTCCAAGGGTGTCGTTAAAGACGATTATAGGAATTGCTATAGCTCATCGATATATATGTACTACGCACTAGATTTGGCATTCCGAACACCACTATGTGCAACTGAACTGTACTGCAATCCGTACACATGTTATTGTGGCTCAGATATTCATGCGGAGCGGCGTTAATAATAATTTTATATTAAATTAGCACATATGCAAAATAAACTAAAATTAAAAATAAATGTGCTCGATTAACAATACAATGTAAATAAACAATTATTATTTATTATTACAATTTTTTGCGCGTTTATATCAACTGGGCATGCGCGACTCTACAGTTTCCCGCGCATGCGCCGATACAGAGTAGTGCACATATTTTATTTGGAATAGCTTCTCTAGTACCTAGTACATATTATATACTATTGACTTCAATGCCATAGCTCCTGATAGATGACAATACAACCCGCTCTTTTATGTTGGACGTAAAATCAGAGAGTGGTAACTATACAGACGGAATTCTTGGCAGAAAAAGGAGTCCTAACAGGTGAAATGAAACTCTTATAGTACCATTTTAATGTTCAACCGTCCGTCCGTCTGTCCGTCCGTCAACACCTTGTTTTATTAGGGATGTGTAGACATTTCAGTAGTGCCAGTGGATGATATAAGTGACAAGCTTTTGGAAACCATACATACGACCGGAGCTGAGTTCCGCAAGCATCGCAGAAGAACGCAAAAATTCTCCGATCACACTCTTACCCTTATGACTTATGAAGACGTGAGAAACACTAGGTAGTGTATGCTTTAGGTGGCTTTACTTTGATTTCATACATTTTATTGTTTTCTATTAGCGTCAACAACTGTAGAAAATCCAGTCGGCTAAACTCGCAGTTCGTTATTTACGTTGCTTACCATCACCAAACTTGAATTTGTGTTAAGCATTTTCGAATATACCGCCGTTTGTCAGACACACCACATGCAGGTGAGGTGCTAATGGTAATGCCATGTCATTTATTACGTTAACCGCGTAGTGGCGGTGTAAGAATATCCACTACACTACTATATCGTCCCGTGGGTGTCGTAAGAGGCGACAGAGGGAAATTTAACTGGAGATGGTCAGGATGATCTTCATCATAACAGCTCATAATTGTTAGAAACTGCGATTGCATGACCACTGGCCAAGCGTGGGAATATGTGGAGGCCTATGTTCAGCAATGGACTTTTATAGACTGTAATAGATGGAATAGTAATGGATTATTTCGTTACATTTTATAGTTTTCTATTTGCGGTAATAATTATAGAAAGTCGATTAGCAATTACCCCACAGTCAGTGGCGAAGCCTCCATAGAAGCCGAAAAGCCGGGCTTGCCTTAAACTCAATCAATCAATAATATCAACTAATAAAATAACTCGCAAACTGTTTCAAACTATTTCAAATTTCCCGCGCACTCCACTGTTCGACACATGTCGATCGATGACCTCGTAATGTCTTAGCGATACTGCTGCTGTCATAAAAAATGAGTTTTAATAGAGCGATTAGTTGTCTCCCTCGCTCTCGTGGGCTTTTTACGGGACTTTCGAGAAGACGATCGCTCTCTTTATAACCTATGGCAAAATATTCTCTAATGAAATATAACTACGATTGTATATATATAGCAATTAGTATAGAGATTTAAAGCCAGGCTTTAGGAATGAATTTGTCAAAAGCGGAGGCGCGCGGGCAATTCGTTTGCAAGTTCATTTCACATTTCAATGTTTATTTACTCCGTGTGTTTAGCTTAAGCGATTTAATATTGTGAGTTCAAAATTTATGCTTTTTTAAAGATTTTTTAGTAAAAATGGAGGATAATAGTGTTCCTTGTGATGAATTGAAGTGTGTTAAAGTGCTAATCGGAGAGGAAAAGGTAAAATCTTTAAACTTTGTTAAGATAATACACAAGGTAATAATTAACTAAAAACAGTTATTGGTATAATTAAAACGTTCACCAACATTTTACGTGGACGTAATTAAATCTTTCCTTAAGAAAGCGAGACGATTCCACTTATCTTCTCTCTTATCCATTAGAATGTAAATAATTTTTTTTTTAATTTTGTACACAGTTTGTTTGTACTTTGTTCATGTTTTACTTTTATTCATGTATCGTATTGCACGTAAATATTTTTTTCTTTCGCTTAAATAAACCCAAACGTCTTTCTTCAAAGCCACCGAAGCTATGCAATTGCTGATATGTAACACAATCTATCTAGCAGTAGTATGTCTTCTGTGTGCTTGGTTAAATACGTCCTCGACAGCACTGAATATGAAACTGAAGAGTGGAGACAGATCAAGATTGGTGTATTTTTATAAAACTGCTAACAACAGCAATCTATACTTTTATCAATTTATATCTTGGGCTTGCCCTAGTTTGGAGCTCTAGCTTCGCCACTACCCACAGTATGGTCAAATACTTCGATAATGAAATCAAAAATTATAATTGCGATAGAACATTCTTATTACTGAAAATAGTAAGAGCATTTTACAAAGGAAATCAACAAGGAAAACATAAAAACAGTGATTTCAAACGTACCATCGTCGAGCCGCAGAAACCCATGGTTTGAATCGATGTGCAACTGTCTATACTTGAGCATGACCCACTCTTTGCAGTCTGGACACTGTTCGGTCCTCGCACCGCAGTAACCCTCGTGAAGAGGAAGCTCGCGACGTAACAGCTCCAACTCGCAGAACCTGAGCAGCAAAAGTTAAAGTGGATTTCGGATGAGTTTCCTTAAGCTGTAAGAGATAAGATGTGACTTTATTAAACTGTTTACACATAGAGAAAATAGTGTGGTGGGATTAGTCAAAATAAAGCGACAGCAGATCTGCAAAACAAAAGATCGGAGGTTCAAATTAGCCATTGGACCTTATTAGTGAACCAATCCTAGCATAGTCATTTAAAGAGTAAATGGAATGGCAAACGCAAAGAGTTCTGCATATACCACCAAACCGGAAATTTAGTACAAAAACTGTGTCAAAGTTGCGGATAGCACGGGCGCCGGCATGTCGGGTAAGTGACACGATAAATATGCTACGCAGTATTCCCATTTACGAAAGTTATTGATTTAGGGAAATACGGCATAAAGTTACATACTTATCTGAAATAAGCATCAAATCACGTTTGCAAAATGCGCACTAAGCAAAATCAGTGTTAGATTTTCGAAAGCAACGTACACAGTTCACAAAATAAAGAACTGGTCTTCTTGCCCGCTCGAAGTCGACTAAAGGAGTTACGGAGAAATGACCATAACTTAGAGAGCAATGTATTAAGGCCGCAGAGCCCGCTTATGGTCGGTACACACGACAACGATTTATCGTTGCAAACTGACTGCGCAGACCATTTGTGCAGTTTTATCGAACGTGTGTACAAAAATCGGCGCAGATTTTTTGGTTGGTGCAAGCCACCTGAGCAAGGTTTAAAATCTTTTCGATAAATCGTTGTCGATCGCGTTTTATCGTGGTGTGTATACGGAAGTCGGACCAATCATTTAGTTCGTACGCACATTCGTTCGTTTCAGGAATGATTTCACTGAGACCCTGTTTTGATATCAACGTAGAAAACTTCATACATTCGTAAGAGCGACCTGTAGCTAAAAACCTCAGAGTTGCAGACAATCTTTCATGAGAGCTTATTGGTTTTTTGTATTAGCGGTATAACTAAAAACAGGATGTGTAAGTCTCTTCATTCATCGTTAAATAATTGTGCCAGTCTTTTGTGGAGAAAATTTCAACTCTTTTAATAAATTTATGTGAGAGTATGACTTTCTTTTAAGAAGCCAATCCCTACACCACACACTACGTGATTTTCTTTTCTTTTTACACAAAACAAGCCAGGCTAGCGCAAGCGCTTCATCGTCTTCCATCACGAATGACGTGTTTTTCTTTTGAGTTTCTGCCGAGAACTGACGATCGACGCAGATATAGTAGATGTGTGGACGCACTACCGACGTTGATAAACTGCGCAAATGAACCGTGCAGTTCGTTTACGCAGTTTTATCGTTGCCGTGTATACCGGGCTTAAGTACTATACCCGTATCGTGAATCGTTCCATTTTTGTTTTTTTTTTTCTTTTTTACGTAGTTTCTCTAGGGTGCAGCACTTTCTCGGCCATTATGTTCATACAGAAAAAGTATAAAAATTATTTGAAAGTCGTAAGCGGTACCAGCATTGCTTTTACCCTTTTTTTTAAATATAACCGTGTGATAGTTCCATGAATTTTCGAGTCGTGAAGGACCGCTACAAAAAATATAAAGAAGATTTAGTAGTCTAAAACAGTTGGCAGATTAATAATTGGAAGACAGAATATTGACAGACGTCGAAGTACCGATTTGAACATCTGCAGTCCCATTTAAATCGTTCTATTAATTTCTATTAGTCATTTTTAGCCCGTAGACAACAACTTCTGGACATACTACGTCTCTCCCAAGGAGCGAAGATTGGATAATCGCTTTACCTGACCTCTAGCATTTTTGACACTGTTGCCTGTAACTGGTCTGGTATTTTCATCTAATATATATAGCAGACTAATCCTGCTAGTGTCAGCAACGTAACACTTAACAACGTCTGGAGAAGTGTCTTTGTGACGCCATGAATCAGCTTATTATTTTAAATAAAATATTGGCAATGCATTAGCATAAATTATGGGAATATTAATTTCCTTTTACTATTTTACAAATATTCCATTTAACCACTTGGTAAGCTTAAAATGCTGATGTTAAGTGATTGACAACAGTAGTTGAATGGCGGATTCGAACAGACGACCATTTGAGTTCGCGGAAAGCACCCTGCCATTGGCTACTAGACTAGTCAATATCGACTATAGAATATTGTGGATTTCCATAGTTGATACTAACTAGTCTCCTTTGTTTTTAAAATAACCGCGCCTTACAAAATAATTTACAACTCCTAAGTAATATAAACAAGTATTTCTCGTTTTTCTATACAAAATATACTTCAGTTGAGGTAATTTCAACGCAGATTTGGCAGCGCACTCGCTAATGTACCGCAAGAAACAATTAGTTTTTAAAAATACACATTGTGTTTTATTTCTGTTTAAAGCAACGCCCAAAATATTTTTATCTAATTGGATTGAAAATTTAACCGAGAAGTAACAACATATATTTATATTAGGAAAAAGCAGATGATGCAGATAATGTATCCCCAAAATATCTCAGGCCACTAAAAGCAGATATTTAAAAAAAATATTATATATTCAAAAATATATTTTTTTAGAATTTCTTTTTTGTATTTTAAATATTAAAGAATCGGTCTATCTAACTATATAACATTACAAAATCATATGTATATCTTACTATAGTATGTACATGAACTAAAGAATACACCATACATATCAAAAATCCACAGCTAATATATTTTTTATAGAATAAGGGTGACAAACGAGCACACAGTCCAGCTAATGGTAAGTGGTTGCTGTCGCATATAGACATCTACATATATCTTCGATTACGAATCAAAATGCAGATGCGTTGTCACCCGTGAGGGCTAAGATGGAATGCCTCGTTTCCAGTAAAAAGGGTCTCCGGTTCTCTACACTCACCATACGAAATACAGCTGCTATTTTACGCTGGTATTCTGTGAGAGCGTGGTCTTTCCCCGCTCGAGCCAATCCATTCGTGCTACAACCATAATATAGTTGCAGCGTGGCTCTACCACGTATAGCTCTCCCATATTATATTGTCTCATAGAAAAAATACATGCCATAGTTGCCACACATGGCAAGAGCATTGGTAACCGTTATGTTTATTTTTAATTAAACACACAACAAGAAACTGCTGCCCATCTTCCGGATCAGCTTCTGTCTGTTGCGGTGTATATCAGCAATTACACCGAAATCAACATTTTCATGGAACTCGCTCTCACTTGATTTCATTCCTAGTACTCGAGCTGCCGGCGTACAATGCGTACGTTCATATCTTTATACGTGACTGGACTCGTTGTAAACAGCTTGACCGATTTTAATAAAATTTTGTGTGTTGTAAGAAGAAGAAACCAAAGATGTATAGTTGTAGCACGAATGGGTCGGATCGACCGGGGAAGGGCCACGCTCTCACAGAATACCAACGTGAAATAGTAGCTTAATGCTGCTGTATTTCGTATGGTGAGTGTAGAGAACCGGTGACCCTTTTTACTGGAAACGAGGCATTCCATCTTAGTCCTCACGGGTGACAACGCATCTGCATTTTGATTCGTAATCGAGGATAGATGATGTCTATGGGCCACAGCAACCACTTACCATCAGGTGGACTGTGTGCTCGTTTGTCACCCTATCCTATAAAAAAATTGGACCCAGTAGGTGGCGCTGTGGCCAAGATCCAGAAATAGAGCGTGCGAAGCCGGGGCGAATCGCTAGTGTATACAAAGCATTGCCAGAAAGATATCATGGCTTCTGATACATAGATGTGACCATCTAGTTTAAGCCAGGCGTAAAATGTACTACAATGGGAAATGACTAGGACCAGCCGTGGACTACTACATTTTGATAAATAAAATAAAGAAATACCTGCATGATTTTATTGTGTGTGCACACGAATCCCTTATGTGATCTTCCATGTCAGTTCCGCATACTTTCTCTCCACACTGCTTACAGGGCACTGGCAAAAATATTGCAATTGAAAATCTGTATAAAGGGTTTTTCAATAAGGGCGGGTAGATGTTGAAATAAAATAAAACAAGATGTGTGTGAGGTATTAACAAAATTCGTTGTTATTTGAAAGGCCCAGTTGTACCATTAAGAGTGGAATATAATATCGTTCAAATGCCCGCCTCGGCTTCTTACACAGTGGCACGGATCCGAATGGTACAATTTTCAATGTCTGAATTTGAGCTACGGCCTGTTTTCTAGCGGGGTCAAATCGCATGACGTTGGTGGCCAATTCACATCACCCCTGCGAGAGATAAGCTTACCCTCAAATTGCTCATGGAGAATGTCAATCGTGATGTCCGCAGTGTGGCACGCAGCGCCGTCCTGCTGGAAGCACATGTCGTCTAAGTCCATTTTTTTATAGAAGAGGTGGCAAATGAGCATGCGGCTTACTTAATGTTAAGTGACTACCGCCGCCCATGATCAACCGCAACACCAGGGGAATTGCAGGTGCGTATTCGGCCCTTTAGAAAGGAGTAAGCTTTTTCTTGAAGGTCCCCAGGTCGTATCGGTCCGGAAAAATCGCCGGTGGTAAACTATTCCACAGAGAGGTTGTACGCGGAAGAAAACTCCTTTTAAACGCAGTGGTAGACCGCCAAGCATCCAGATGTGTGGATGGTATCAGGACGTTTGCCGCGTAGTGCGTTCACGAATTTTGGCGGCTGGGATTAATCCGAACAAAAAATACGGATCAATAATGCCGCCGCCGGCTCAAAAACCACACCAAACGGTAACTTTTTGAGTAAACATTATCACCTGGTGAATCTCGCGTGGGTTGGTGTCCCATTTACAGCAATTCTGCTTGTTAACACAGCCATTCATCCAAAAATGGGCCTCGTCGCTAAAGATGATTTACGGCCAAAATTGGGCTCCTCTTCTAAAGGATTCGAAGCCCAGTCAGCGTACAAACGGCGTTGTCTATGGCCATGTACTTTGAGCTCCTAGGTCAGTTGGAATTTGTAGAGGTAAACGCCAAAGTCACAACGCAAAATTCGCCAAGTTGAAGTCTGCGAAAGGCCGAGTTCTTGTGCACGGCGAGGAATCGACTGCCTCGGGTTCTGCTGTACACTTTAACGAACCGAGATGATGTTCTCGGCCGATTTGTCGAACGTAGGCTATACTGGGGCTAACTCCGCTTCATCTACATATATAACAAGAAGCAACTTAAGCTGCCATTAGACTCAAGACCCTAAATCTTTTAAGTAAGAGTAGAGTCCCCCATACAGGTATAATTGATATTTTTTTTAACGTTACCCCTACACTAAGATTTTCTCTTGTATTGTGGGGGCAGTTTACAAACATAAATTGCACAAGGACGAACATCCAGACCCGGACAACTACTTGTAGGCCATACAAATACTTGTTCCGTGCGGGATTCGAACCCGCGACCCCCAGCGCAGCCACTCATTGCTAAGCCCCTGCGCCACGGAGTCGTCAATTGATAAAATTTACTCAAAAATTCTTATCTTACAAGCCGAGTACGATAGGGTCCCAAAACAATTTATATTCGATAAGAAGTATAAGATACAATTAAATGAAACTGACCAGCCAGAGGGATTGAGCCCAAAAGAGCTTGGTTTTCACGGATGGTTCTAAGACATTTGAAGGTGTAGGATCTGGAACTTTCTCTGAAGACATTAATATCCATATATGCACACCGAGTTGGGTACCCATAACACAGTCTTCCAGGCTGAATGTATGGGTATCATCCAAGCGGCCATAGCAATAGATGCCATGAAGTTAAAAGACTTCTCCATCAGAATAATGACCGACAGTATGGCGGTACTACAAGCTCTGAGTTGTAATGTGGCGAACTTAGGACTAATATATGAATGCCATCAACGATTAAATGAGCTATGTAAGCACAAAAATGTGACTCTGCAATGGATTAAGGGACACAGTGGATCTAGAGGCAACGATGCAGCAGATGAACTGGCCAGAAGGGGATCAGCCCTGGCAACTATAGGGTCGGAACCAATAATACCAATCCCCTTTGGCTACGTTCGTTCACTGGTACGTAGAAACTTCAATAATTTACACGCTCAACTTTGGAAAAATTTAGTAGACTGTAGACAAGCTAAAGAGGCCCTGCCTGAAATAAACAGTCGTCTAACCAAGGTTTCAATAAGACTGAACAAGCCACAAATCAGGGTAGTAACAAGTGCTATTACAGGACATGGCTCTTTTAACATAAATTTGTTTACCACAGGTGTTACTGACAGCCCCCTGTGCAGGGCATGCATGGGAGAGGAAGAAACGGCGGCTCACGTGTTGCTGACATGTCCAGAAGTCGCTTCATACAGGGCTAAACATCTCGGCACGCCGGGATCGCTCCCCGAATTTGCTTGCAACATCAAGGAACTGCTGATCTTCTTCGGGGAGATATCATGGCTCGAATAATTTACATTATTCCTGCCCACACGCAAAATACGCGCTTAGACGTGGAGTTGCGGAAAACAGCCCGTCGTAAACTAAACTAACTTCCTTGAACGTACAGCTGTTGGCTGATTGTTTACCGAACCGTTTCAAATTTGACCACCTAACGTTGAAGAGTCGATTGTGTAGGTCGACCACGTCTACCGAAAAATGAGCGCAATGCGCACAACGTTTGCACTTACGAACACTCGTTTGGATAATAAAGTTTTATAATTTCAACGTGCTGTTCAATCGTGTAACTTGCCATGGTGATTTGGCATAAGTAAATGAATAATAAACAAAAGATTTGATAGATGTCACCAAAACAAAATGGTCGCCACGGGCCGCCAAAATCTACCCGCGCCAATTGAAAAACCCTTTACTTCACTTATATATAAATACTTTCTTAATTTCTTAATTTCTTAGCATAATCTTCAGTTCTAATATGCGGCGGAGTTAGGCTGCAGCGCTTGATTGTAGCACGAATGGGTCGGCTCGACCGGGGAAGGACCACGCTCTCACAGAATACCAGCGTGAAATAGCAGCTTAATACTGCTGTGTTTCGTATGGTGAGTGTAGAGACTCTTTTTTACTGGAAACGAGGCATCGTAGGCCTTCGCTCTCAGAGAAAACCGGAGTATAATAGCAGTTGAATGTTGTTTTCCTTTTTTTTGCACTGCTTGTAATGTGTTTAAAGAACTGAAGACCTACTCTATCTAGACGTCAGAGGTGGCAACGCACCTACAATTTGATACTTAAATGAGGATAAATAGAGCCAATATTTACCCTCATTTAAGATCTATGGGCTATGGGCATCAATTTACAATCAGGTGAATTTTATGCTCGTTCGTCAACCTTATTCTATAAAATAAATGGCTGCACACGAAAATGTCTACAAGAATGGAGAATGTCCACACTCGCATAGAACACAGGTGCGATTCATTTACAGTGGATTTCATTCATAACGACCTCGGTTATAGCGACTTCGGTTATAGCGACAGTTGCGGGTATAGCGACTTGTTTTTATGAACCATTTATGACCGATTCCTAGAAATCCCTCGCGGCTATTGCGACTGAGTCGGCAAAGGCACAAAGACTCATTATTACTAAAACTATTAAGCTTTCTTATCCTTTGTTTACATTCACAGATGGTCAAACTAATGCTTTGTTTGTATGTAGGACTACGTAGCATGTTTACGAAGTTAAATTTGTGAATCAGTTATATAGAAATTCCAGTGAGTGAACAGTGTTTCTTAAACTAGTGTATATGGCTCCTAGACGTACATTTACTTTTTTAAAGAAAAAGTGGACATCATTTCGAGACTGCAAAATGGACAAAATAATGTTGATCTGTGTAAACAATTTGGAGTTTCACATTCTACAATATCAACGATGTGGAAAAACCGCGCTAAAATTATGGAGTGTTTTGAATCAAAATCCCTGAAAATAAAGAAAAATCACAAAACACCCGTGTATAACTTAATTAAATAAATGATAAGTAAATATGTACATGACTTTTTTATTTTTGTAGATATAGAGACCTCCGGATATAGCGACGACATTAAAGTTGTCCCTCCGCCGTCGTTATAACCGAAATTCACTGTATATATATATCTTACCTTACGTAAAGTGGAGATGCTGTCTAAAGTAATCACCGATAATGAGTATTTGTTAGATGTTAACAAAAGCAACAAATTTGTACACGAGGATAAAATAGCAAATGAAACAAATAATAATTTTCACATGTTGTAGTTTATTTTTTAGATTACAAATATATATATATATATATATATATATATATATATATATATATACATATATATATATATATATATATATATATATATATATATATATATATATATATATATATATATATATATGGGTGCTTAATTTGTTCATAAAAAAGTGGCAACACTAACATACGGTACATATAGGTACTTACGACACTATAATATCTCCTGCTAGTTTCTGACAGTCAGGTATTCAAACCATTGTAGTCATCCACTTGCATCACACTAATGTATAATTAGTTAATTATAAAAAAATTACATACGTAGTTTGTGCATTTTGTCATGGTGATTTTCTAGTCCCGCGAGCGGCACGGGCTCCTTACAGACGGGACACATCCCGAAATTGCGCGCACAGTGCACTGAGTGGATGGTATAGTTCACCACCGGAATCTCGCGCTTGCTGCAACAATATACAATAGAATTAAAAACAAGTTAAAATGAAATGTGAATAAATCCATAGACTTATTCAGATATAAGTGTTTCCGTGGTAATTGAGGAGCAAAGCGTGGTAGCTCAGTGATTAGTTCCTAAGCTATAATGCGTATCCTATGACTCTCAACCTGCTCATATACATAACTTAAATTGAAAATTTAAAAAAAACCCGAAACAAAAAGAGACAATGATCTTCAAACGACCGAAAAGATTTTCTTGAATCAAAGCTAAGAATACTCTCGCTCAAGTCACCTTTCAAATACACACGTTAAACATATAAGACCCCTCTGTTTGCGTTGGAGGTTAAAATATAAAGAGTGAAGTCGAACAATTAAATCGTAAAACATCACAAGCATCCAATAATTCCGTTCATCCTCAGTGAATCAATCGCAACCTGTGCCACCTATTCAGTTCTCACATAACCCATCCTGACTTCGCAGAAAATAATCCAATGACAACAATGCGCACTTTATTGTTCGTGTAAGGTAAAACCAATGCAACTTCCTGATCTGATTAAGTTAATTTAATGTTAGTACTTATTTGATAGCTTGAATTACGAGACATGCATAAATTTCACACCTTGAACCATGCGATTCTTATTCTCCCAAAAATCAACGATTTGATTAGAGGTTTGACGTTCACGGAGCCAGAAGAGGCCGTGATGGCATTCAACCAGGTATATACAAAAGAAGTATGCAATCGGCGGTCTTATTGCTGAAAGCAATATCTTCCAGACAACCAATGAATGGACAGGATTACACAAAGATAACAGGGGTAGGACAAATTGGTGTTATAAAAAAGAATAATATATATATATATATATATATATATATATATATATATATATATATATATAATTATTTAATTAAATGCAATCAATATACTACATATAATATATTATACGGCTAATATAAGTAGTACATTGTTTGCATAGATGGTTTTGTGTTACGATAACTCTTCATCGGTCAGTCAAATAATAAAGGATCAAACGGACGATGCTTTCTTAGAGTAATTACATACATACGTATGCATGCTTAATCGACGCCATTTTGACAGTTAACATTATAGTATTATAGTCGATTTTAGTATGGTGTAGTGTAATTAGTTTTTTTTTAAGTAGATTTTTCGAAGTGTTCCTAATTATTGCCAAAGATTGTATGCCATTTTTTTCTTTACCCGGATGACCGAGCTTTGCTCGGTTTTTTAAAAAATTACATTTAGATACAAATTACATACTGATGAATAATATTTTTTGATCTTATTGACATAATAGAAAAAACTGAACTGGTTATTTGAATAAAAAATCATGAGTGCAATTAGTTTAATTAAAATTTTCGTATTTTTAAAAAATACTAAAAAAAAGGGCTCGAAATAATAAATTTTCTCACAAAAGAAGGGAACTTGAAAAAAAAAGGAAAAAAAGTCGGACCGAAGACGACCGAAGGACGCGAACCAAGGCATTACGATTTCGCGACCGCTCGATATCCACTTGAGCTATTACGATCATTAACACAATGTCGAAATTTACCTTCTATTATTATAGCAGTTTTTCATTGCCTGAAAATACGGACAAAAAGACATTTTCTAAAAATAAATCCTAGCTAGATCGATTTCTTGCCCCCGAAATTCCCTAGACACTAAATTTTATGAAAATCGTTGGAGTCGTTTCCGAGATTCCGATTATATATATATATATATACAGTGTGTCCGGTCACTGACTAGCGATATTCTAGGTATATATAATACAGCAATTTTCATACAAAAATACACTACACACTGAGGTCTAATCCCCTCCCCCCTTATCTGGCAGCCATTTTGTTTTCTTCTTGAAATATTCTCTACGTGTTTACAAAAATATTCATATCTCTCAAAGTTTTGGTCTTACTGAGATAAAAACTAGCTCATTCGAAGGATAACAATATTGTCTATCGTTTCCGTTAGCAAAAAAATTGTTCACATACTCGTATCTTTAAAGAAAAATAAAATTTACTTCAAAAAAATCAAAAATTATGCTAAACGGCAAATTATTCTAAATTACTGCAAAAACAACCCCCGTTTACCCTTTTTATTTTTTTACTCGGTCGACAGATTTTGTGTTAAGCTACAATAAAACATAAAATTAACAGTGTGTTTATTACTTTAAGAATTATTGTTGTTTGAACATAGCGTATGCGCAAACACAAAAGGCCTTTGTTTAGTGACAACTGGCACTACCTGCCTAGGAGTAGTAGTGTTCTGTGCTACCTGCTCTCGAATTGATGCAATGATGTATTCCATTCAACAGCAGGCCGAAAATACTGTAAGCTGCTAGCAAAAAAAAATCCAATTTGACAGTTGATTAGTTAAATTAATTGTCCCTCGCCCTGCGTTGTTATCGCTACGTTCACTTATTTTCCGTGCTGTTTACATGCTATATTACTGTTTATCGTTAAGAGGACAAATCAATATTTAGCGCAACATATTGCCGACATACACTTGGTGTATGGCTTTTGCAATGGAAGTGCAAATCGAGCTGTACAAGAACATCGACGAAGGTACTCTAACAGGCCTACACCATGTCGCCAAACTTTTGTTAACGTGCATTCGAGACTAGCGGAAAGGGGCATTCAAACTACTGTTAATGGACATGCTCGTTTGGTATCGCCCGAAGATGAAGAAGAAGTGCTTAGGCTAATAACAAGTAATACCAAACTAAGCGTTCGACGGATGGCACTTTGCAGGTGGCACATAGAGCTTTAGCTTGTATACAAGCTTGAGGTGGCCACTTTGTGCAACTTCTTTAGATATTTTAATTGTAGGTCAATTTTGTAAAACATTTAAATATAAACTATAATAAAGTAACTTTAGCCACGGTAATATTATCTATACAGTATTCCAACTTCATACAAACGGACGAAGCGAGAGCTATGCTATGCTACGCGCCTCGATCTCGGCATGCGCTCGGCATGGCTCGGCAATATATATATATATATATATATATATATATATATATATATATATATATATATATATATATATATATATATATATATAAGAATTGCTCGTTTAAAGGTATGGGATAGTATACAACTTTGTGTTTTTGTCTCTCTCCCTCTCCTAGTTTTGGTTTTATAGGGCAGAAAACCTAAGGACCATATCACCCTCACATTACCTTAGTTTACATATAAAATGTTTTATTTATAAGTAACGAAAAAGTTTTAGTGTACTCAACATTTTCTACCGTTTCAACCGTTCTGTACTGTTCAATAAAGATTCTTTACCAAGAATTTTGATAGGGTTCCCTCTTCCTTTATTACTAATAACAGTGAATATACTAAAATCTTTCCATTATAAATTATATTTATATGACTGGTATACATCACGAAGAATGGAAATCCCAAATTATATTGCTCATTCAGAAATCAAGCTACCGTTCTATTGCTCTTTCCTGTACGGTGGCCAAAATTCTTGAACACCTGATAAATAATTGCTTGAAATGGTTTTTTGAAAGCATAAATATTGAAGTGAAAAACCATTTTGATTCCATAATAGTACCATAGATAGTCTTATTATACCAATAACTGATATTCATATAACTATCTCCAGACATTTTGTTTGATCTGCAATCAGTTGAGTCGACTTCCACTCAGATGTGTTGTACTGTGTTTATCGTGCGGGGGGGACTCAGTAGGAGCTACCGCATCCATTTTGGAACCTGGTATCTAGACTTTGAACGTCATAGCGTTTCAGTCGTTTGCATTAGCTGATTTGTGCCAGGTTAGCTGCTAGGTGTTTTGGTGGCGATCCTTGTATTTTCCTGCGTACATAGCAACTTCCTGCTTCACCGTTGTCATGTTGAGAACCTCGTGAATTTCACTGTTTGTCATAAACCATGGTACATTGGCTATCGAAAAAAATCTAAACACCAAACCCTTCCAAAGTAACACTAGCGCTTCCTGACATAAACAAAACATCAGACCTTTATTCAGATGCTCTTAAGAAACAACCTGAACAAATTCAAGTTCAAAATAGACCTGAAGAAACCTTGGTGAAGCATCCTTCAACAAATGAACACTAAAGTGTCATAACCACGCTCGTAAATAAACTACGGCTGTAAGCCTCAGGATCGCCACGTGGAACATTAATTGTCTAGCACCAAATGGGTCGAAACTAGAAGTTCTTATCAAAGAGCATAATCTCGATGTTGTTGTGCTTATCTATGAAGTACATTGCACTTACAAAAGTAAAGTGAGTTTAACGTCTATACGATTCAACACCCTTACAGGACTGGTCACGTTGGATCTGCTATTGTGGTAAAGAAATCGATCAAACACCACCTTCTAGAAGAGTATAAAACTAAATAAATACAAGCCACTACAGTAACGGTAGAGAGCAAATGCAGAAACATGAACCTGACTGCGGTGTACTGCCCCCCACGACACAAAATCAGCAGTTATAAATTCACACTCTAAATCTCAACTTTAGAAGGCAAATTCATTGCAAGAAGTAACTGGAATGCCAAGCACACGTACTAGGGCTCAAGGCTTACATCTGCCAGAGGTAGACAACTCAAATTGAGTTTTGATATTAACCTCAAAACAGACCTGACCTGAGGTTCAGTTGGTTTATCATTTAGTTTGTTTCTACTTGGCATTCTGCGGGCTAGTATGTCCCTGCATAAATCGCAACCTTTATAGTTTGCTGGATGCGCGCCTTTACAGAGTGCGCATTGTGAGAGAGTGGTTCTGTCTTTTTGGGACATTCTGAAGTTTTGTGCACATTTGAGCGATTCGGTCTCGTACAATAGTTTTTAGAGTGACACACATATTGTTGACATCTCTGACACTGTGGATTAGCCCATCTCTTTTTAGGGTCTTAAATTGTAATTACCTGGTGGTGTATACTGGAAATCTGTTTTACAGCAGTATTGTTAAGTCCTGGTGTAATGTTCACAAAGAAAGTTGAAGTGGGAATGTTATCTGCACCAAATCTGACATTGATTATTTCTCTAGCGACCTTGTTGTCCGTCTTCGCAATTTCTTCAATTATTGCACTATGCGGTACGGTATGGTACAGGTTTTCAATTACTATTCTGTAGCAGTGTTGGTCTTTCCGATTGAAGATGTCCATCAGGTCATTTTCTCTCACTATTGATATGATTTTTTGTAGACTTCTATGTATACAGTGTTGATACTTAGTTGATTCCGGGCTTCGATCAACAAATGTCGGATCGGCGCGAGAAACCCATCTCGGTACATAACAGCGCACATGAAACGTGAGCTCTTATTTCGTTTAGTTCACTTGAAACACAGCCAATGTAAACACATTTCACAATGCCGCAATGTGTATTTAAAAGTTGCAAGAATAATGCCCGAAAAAAGTAATTTAACGGCCGGAGCGTCTTACTTTCAGTAAGTACAAATTTGTTAAATATGATATTATGTTAGCTTAGAGATATTTTAAGCTCTAAGCTAACAAATAATATCATATTTGGAACAAAATTACCGATCAATATCACCCCTACAAATGTTTTTCCAATGTTGACCAATATACGGGCAAACATTTGTGAAACAGAACATAGACGCAATACACTTGTATTATAATAATTTTTAATAATTTGTTACCAAAACTTTAAATAATGGTAATTGCTACTTTTGTCTTTGTTTGTGTAATTCCATTAGATACCCACTTAGCTTTTTTATTTTAGCTTTTTTAGGAGCCAGTGGTAAAATAAAATAAAGTGATTTTCAATAAGTATAAGTATTATTTAATATATATTGAATAAAAAAGATTCTGTTTCTGTTATAAATATTTTGATTTTTGATTTATTGATTGCACTGAAATGTACGTGAATATAAAGATGTGGAATTTGGTGATATTTTTTTTTTGTAACATACAACTATTGACACCTTTGGCAGCCGCCAATATTACATCCATATGAAAAACAAAAAGCGTACTTTCAGTTTCTTTTTGTGTACACATAAATAAATAAATAAAAATCCTATTATACGCAAAAACATAAAATAATTAGTATTTTATTTATTCATTTTTCTTTATTGAAATAAGACAAGGTTTTCCCCCCAACCCAAAGCTACTATTTTACGCTGGTATTATGTGAGAGCGTGGTTCTTCCCCGGTCGAGCCGACCCATTCGTGCTACAACTATATTACTAATATAATTGCAGCATATATATATATATATATATATATATATATATATATATATATATATATACATAGATACATACATACTACGAACATATATACATACATAAACTCAAATAGATATATATTGAATTAGTTAATTAAATGCAATCAATATACCACATACTATATTTTATTTCTTGACTGAAAGTATGTATACCAACGATCATAAATGCCCAAAACATAAAAATAATTTTAATTAAACTTATGATCATATTATAAATTATTTTAGTATTCAACGCGACTTAATACTTCCTGGGCAAAGATGTTTTATAGGTACAGATACCGTGTACGCGCGCCTAAAACGCTTCCATTTAAAAGGCGCCAATATTGGCGTATTCGTTCGATCGTTCCGCCATTACGCCAGCGACGTTCACTGCGAACGTACATCACACACCGGTATTTTTAATTTCGCAAAATGACTGTTTGTGCCGTGAAATCATGTAAAAATTACTCTTGGAAAAAAGATAAGGATAAGAACATCACTTTTCATAAGTAAATATACAATTTTCTGGTGTATTTCATTATAAAATAATATGAAAGCTGAATGTCAATACAAGTAGTAATACTGCGCAATAATATTCGAGTTTTGCCTACCGTATGAAATGTTTTTCCCTATTTTAATGTCATGAATAGATGTAAAGCAACTGTTGACAACGGATATTTATCCAAATCAGCCGATACGCAATCGGTGTCAACCGTTTGTTTATCCGACTACGGATGAAAAAGGATAGTTATGTTTTTACTGTGTGTGCGGTTAGCTAAGCTGAATCGCTTTTCGGAATGGTGCTCAAAAACTCCTTGACCTATTTAAAAATTCTTTCACCATTAGAATGCTATTATGATTGTGAAACGTAGGATGCATTTTAATTAGTGGGCACTACTATCAGCGAATATGTTTTTTAGCTAAACTCGTAAAGTACTTGACCGATTTTGAAAATTCTTCTACCTAGAATGTTATGTATAATTACAGATGTCTAATGTAGAATTTATTTTATTATAGATGGCGCTACTTTCTATGAATATGTTTTTTGGCTAATCTCGAAAATTACTTGACTGATTTTGAAAATTCTTTTACCATTACATTACTAATGAGGGATTTAGTTGTGTGATTAAATTATATTATTATAATAATTATTTGTGTAATTAATATTTAAAAAAAAGTAAATACCTACCTAAGATGATTACCTCGAATTATTATTTTGGAAAATGTACTAATTATATCTCAGAAAAATGCACTATTATAACATATTATGGGACTATCTGTGGTTTATTCATTACCAAAGAGAAAAAACTTATTGCCCAAAAAAATGTGGGTTTAAACCGTCTAATTTTACAGGTTTTAACCAAGTTGAACCGTTTTAAGGCTTCGGGTCGAAATAGATCTGGCAGCCCGGAATCGCACTTTCCTGTGAATCTATCCTTCTTGGTCACTTAGAACCGTCATTTACTAGAGCGAGAACGAGCGGGAGTGTGTAATTTAACCCTCAAAAAGCTGATTGTGAACTGGTTTGAAAAATCAATCTGTCATTATTGTGATCATTGTGAGGCAATTGAGTCGGAAAATTAAATGCATGCCCTGCATCGACAGTCTTATAAGTAAAGAAAAATTAGATTTTCATAAGCTAGTTGGACTATGTGACAAGGGAGGACTGATTTATTCGTCACAAAATGTTTTAACTGTATGCTGGCTGTCAGAGGCAATTTTACGTGAAACATTAAAAGAATAGCAAATAACTACAGAAAAAGATTACAAACTTCTGATAATTAAAATAATGACACACTCGGTGAGTAAATGTATATTCAACTTTAGTGAAACAGATCATCTTTATGGGCATTATCATGAAAATAATATTTTGAAATTAATAGTGGATGGATATATAAAAATCAGGCTGTTTCATGTAGCGAAGACAGAAAATATTTACAAAAATATTCCATCGAAAAGGCAACTGTACCGAAAACAACTACAATTTCAAGGTTTTTAAATAAAATTATAATTTACATAAATAAACAATTTGTCTTATATAATTGATCTTATATGTTTATTTATTTATTTACAGTTTTTACAGTATAAAATGTAGCTTTTAAAAACACTAAGTTTTACAAAATTTTATCTTCTTCCAGTTAAAAAGTAAAGTAAAATCCAGTGAGAGTATTTAATTAATTTCATCCAAGGATTTGATCTAGTCATGAAACTGGATCGATATATGAATTTTAAAAAAAAACGTTTGCTACCTCTTGGCCGAAGTTTACACTTAACTTTTGTACATCATTCATGTTTTCGTAAAAAGCGGCAATATTTGGGTTCTACAGTACAAAGGTATAGTACTCTATATATATTCAATAATAATAGATTGGTTATATATATAAATAAAAAATCACAGTAGATATAGCTACATAAATATCTGCTGTGATTTTTTAATTGTTTTTAACTGTTACATTAACTATAGGTTTTATTACTTATCTTCACTATTTTGGTGCGATTTTCATACCTACATAAAACACACATAACCAACCATATCCCTTGTATGTGTATATCTCTATACACACACGCACACAAATGCACATGCTTTGCATTTAAATTTTACACTCAGGTCATAATAAAAATAAAAATAATAAGGTCAATATAAATGAAATGTAAAATCTCCCAAATTTTTGGGTAATCGTTTTGCACTGTTATTACCGAAGTCACGCAAATTAATGCAGGCACGGTACGTGGTACTCACGCACACATGAATCAAAGACTGGCGTCACTGTGAACGGTACGATGTGTTAGCAACACGGTATCTGTACCTATAAAACATCTTTGTTCCTGGGCCAAATTCGAAGAAGAAAACAGAAACATAACAAAATGACGTAGCTCGAAACGCAATAACTGGAAAAAGTACTTTATTTCTTATATCTTAAGGTTGATTTCACACAAAATGTTATTTAACCTATGTCTTTTTATATCGAAGTGATAGGAGTATTGTATAGCTTTGTGACTAATAAACTAATGATCGTAAGATTTGTGACTTTATTACTAGATGCGACGGTTGTAACTAGGTTGAACTTAAAACTATTTTAATTTCTGTCTCATTTCTTTAGTAAACAAATGTAGCTGTATAAGTATATATTCATGCGGACAGTATTTAGCTATGACACGGTAATATTATCTATACAGTATTGTAACTCGGCCGTATCTTTCAAATAAATGCCTACAGACGCGCGGTAAGTAAACATGCGATAGGGCTGCCTGCCTCCAGCATTACATTTTCCTACTTTGTGTTTCCATTTAGTTTTATGATTGTAAATAATTATACTTTTTTATATAAACAAATATAGTAGGTACTTTGTGAATTGAATAGGAAGTGTTCAATAAAAATGCGTGTCGTTTTTTGATTGGTAGATTTAATTAAAAAACCATGTTTATGTTTTAATAACAAATCGGTCTTATTTTGCGACCGAAAAATATTTGTGCCTCGGCTGAGACTTACGAAATGCTTTATTATTAGATTTTTGAATATAAAAAATCCGCTTTCTAATATAAAGCTTCATTAAAAATTATTTTGGGAAACATGGACAACGTGGAGAAAAGGAATATCTTTTAATTGGTTATAGATACCTGCAGCTACTTTACAATTTATATTTTGGTTTTAAATGAAGTTTGGATTTATTATTTCTTTATTTCAATTCTATTATTTATTTCCTCCATTTTTTATATATTTCGCAAAATCATCACTGCGGCACAGTCTCGACTGTCTGCATGCCGAGCGCATGCCGAGATCGAGGCGCGTAGGCATAGCTCTCGCTTCGTCCGTTTGTATGAAGTTGGAATATTGTTTAGATAAAATTACCGTGGCTATGATTTTGTACGTGACCCGTTACCTAGTTGGTATTGTTGATCGAAGATTCCGGGTTACGAATTTTAAAAACGAAGTTGTCTTTCAATACCATAAAGTATTAGGTGGAGGTTTGCTGACATTTTTTCTTTGTCATTCTCAGCTTGGTCCACAGGTAGCACTGTATCGATTGATGGTTTTGATTGTGTCTGGGGATGGTGACTCAGAGATCTTTTTTCTTTTAAGAGATCTGATCACTAGGAATCTTTACCAATCAGGAGGGTGTTATAACTACCATCTGTGTCTGTGGAGCGAGGGGATCGCACGGTAGTTTCTCCTCTGTCCTTTTGTGGATTGGGTTCAAGGGTTACCATTGATACACTTGCTATTGATGCGCTGCACGATCGCGTAAATAGGCTAGGATAGAAGGCCTGTTGAATAAATGTCTTTTTGGGTTTTTCTGTTTATCTACCCTAAAGAATCTACCCTAGGTTGGATACTCGGAATCGCGTGTCCGTCTATCAACCCCGGACGGAGTGGGTAATCGGAATTCGTATGTAATATTTTCTTCCGTCTTTCCCCCTGGGCTGTATACAGTCATTTAGGGAAACATGATAAAACTGGCTCAAGATAGTAGACACTACCTATAAAAATTCTTCTTGTTTGAAAGGTCAAAATTAAAATAAAAGTAGTACCGTAAAATGCTGCAACTTTGCCAACTAAGCCCAAGTTTGCCTATTTCGTTTTAATTATGATATTTCGCGTTTGTTTAGTTGTTTCTTATTTTCTGCCATTTGGTAGTAAAATACCATCGTTAGGGCAACATATTTTTAATTTTTTATAAGGGTAACTCCATAGTTACTCTGCCAGTTGTGCGATAAAAACCGGTGCAAGTGGGTGGATCTTTTTTGTGTCCTGCAACTTTTTCATTTTTAGCTGAAGAAGAAGTGTTTTCGTGCAGAAATTACATCTCAGGGTAAGGAAATACTGTCCGTTATTTGTAATGTTTAATATTTCTATAAACAGGGCTCAATTTCATCGAAATAATTTAGTAGGCAATGTTGTGAACTGTTTTGAAAACTTGAGTGATACAACTTTGCCTGGGTCTAGGGTTGTCACTAGTTTGATTTAAATTAATGGTATATACGTTAATATAATTTTATTCAATCTGTATTTTAGCACTGCTGTGCAAATACTTCTTTGACTTTCAAACCGAATAAAAACTGTTACGTTGTTTGATGGGTTTAATCATTCAAAAATTAAGAAGATGGATTTGATTAAAAAGACAGAAAGAATCTTGAGACTTTATTTTAGGAACCGATGACGACAAGACTTAGTTAGATTAGTATAAACAATTATTGACCATGTACAATTGACGATTACATTAAAATCATATAGTATTCACTTCTAAAACGCATCATCAGCGATTTTTCCGTCGAGTACTTTTGACAACACATACTTAAGTTATTTAGCTAAAAGCAGCCTGGAGCCTGTAATTTTGCTCGATATATGACAACATGGTACTAACTTACGACCACGACCACTTTGTTAAAAGTTTAACGATTATGAAAATAACAATAGACTCGCCCCTTACTATATGAGACTTAAAATACATTTTGCCAGTTATGATATTGTGTTTTTTGTATTTAAGTAAGTCCTATATCTATTACAGTTATATAATGGGGAAGAATAAAAATCGAAGCAGGAGAAAACCAGGAGCACGTAATTATGCTGATTATTCAGCAGAAATGTTAAACGTTGCAGCAGATCTCGTCCGAAACAAATTTATTTCGTCATACGAAGCGGAAAAGCAGTTTGGGATTCCGCGTCGGACCATTCTCAATAAATCTAAAAACATACACATTAAACCATTTGGGCGACCCACAGAGCTATCAGCTGAGGAAGAAGCCCATATCGCAGACGTAGTGAATCTTTCTGCTGAATTTGGCTGTCCTTTAACTATTTTAGATCTGCGCATTGTAGTTTACAATTATTTAGTAAAATGCAGCAAAGATTACCTTTTTAAAGGAAAAATGCCAGGTGAACGTTGGGCTCGTGCTTTTTTACAACGTCACAATTTTTCCCAAAGGGCAACTCAAAATATAAAAAGAAGTCGTGCTGCGAAAACAGTAGAGGAAATTAATGAATATTTTAATAATCTTGAAACTTCACTCAAAGACATTCCCGCCGGTAACATCCTTAATTTTGATGAAACAAATTTGAGTGACGACCCCGGGTTAAGAAAGTGTATTTTTAAACGAGGTACAAAACACCCAGAAAGGATTATAAATGCCAGCAAAAGTGCAGTTTCAATAATGTTTAGTGGAACTGCAGATGGCAATTGTCTACCACCCTATGTGGTTTACAAGGCAGATCATTTGTGGAGCAGCTGGTGTGAGAATGGACCAAAAAATGCTCGGTATAATCGAACCAAATCTGGGTGGTTCGATATGATATGTTTTGATGATTGGTTTAAAAGTATAGTTGTGCCGTGGGCTAACTCTCTAGACGGCGTTAAACTTATGATCGGTGATAACTTAGCGTCGCACCTAAGCGTCGAGACAATTCAAATATGTCAAAGTAAAAACATCAGATTCGTTTTTCTTCCAAAAAATGCTACACACTTAACTCAGCCGCTAGACGTTGCATTTTTTAGACCAATGAAACGATATTGGCGTGAAATTTTAACAAATTATAAAGCTACATACAGCACTGCAAGTACAATCAATAAATGCCATTTTCCACAGCTACTGCAAGAGCTAATGACTAAAATAGACATGACAAAAGAGACCAATATACGTAAAGGATTTGAGGGATCTGGAATATTTCCTTTCAATCCTTCAAGGGTGACATTAAAAATACCAACATTACGAGAAGAAAATACTGGTCAGTTTGATGCCAGCCTACTGGAGTTTTTACAGCAAAATAGGCAATCACAGCCAATGAAAACAGGCAAAAACAGCAAGCTTACAGTCGTACCCGGTAAATCTATATCAACCGAAGAAGCAGAAGAGCTTGCTAAAGCTAAAAAGGTGAAAAAGCATACAAGAACAACTAAACAGAAAGAGAAAAAGGATGTACCTTTACCGGGACCTTCAAAATTAACTACTGTAAAAAAGAAAATAAAGTATACTGAAACTAAAAGCCTTGGATCAAACGACACCTACGAGCTAGACGCTACCTTCGAAGACAACTTGGCACAATTACACTGTTCATGGTTGATGCTCCAAAATCCTGAGAGCCTTTGTAGGCTTTGCATAAGTGCTATAAACATTTACTTGCACCCTTTAGTGGCAGGTTCAAATAATTTCGAGCATTGCCTAAAGAATTTGCCAAAGAACTCCAAAATGAACACATCGTTTTGCGAAGACACACCAGAATGTGTGCAGTTGAAAATAGGTAATGATCCTGATCCAATGAAAATGAAAAACCCAAACAAGAATAAAAAACCTAAAGTAATAATTATGTCTAATATAGTTATAAAAGAAGCCTCTCCAGAAAAAAAAGTAGTTTTACGGGATATAAATACAGAAATGAATAAAGGAAAGAGACATGCCAGTACTTCACGAGGACCGTCATCTAAAATTAAAAGAAAAGAAAAAAAAATTGTGTACCATAGCGACTCAAGCCTGACATCGGAAACTTCATTTCAAGCTGCAGACGACTCCGACTATGAAAATTTTGATGATTATATTGCATCATGTTTACAAGAACAAGAAGAACAAGAAAACATATGCCCTTTCGGATTGAGTGATATTGATTTTTATGTTGAAAATTCTCTTGGACTTCAAGAAAACTGCTGGATAATAGCTAAATTTGCTTCGAAAAAAAGTATTAAACACTTTGTAGGGAAGGTTTTATCAATAAAAAATCAAATTCCTAAAGTAAAATTCGCGCGAAAAGTAAAAAATTCTAAGTGTGTTAAAGAAACGGTATTCACCTACCCTAACATTGAAGACATATGTGATGTACCTGATTTAAAAGATGTTATTGCAGTTTTACCTGATCCCCAAATTTCTCGTCGAGGACATTTCATATTTAATTTAGATTTCGATAAATATAACATACAATGAGTAGAATGTTATAACGTTCTAAACTAACGAAACAATCAGACGAATTTTTTTCAATATTTTTGCTATAGAGTGCTCAAGCTGATCAATTCTGTAAAACTATTTCGAAGAAAATTTTATACCTTTGCGAAGAGGCTATGCAAATGATTTCTTTTAATCCGCTACCGCAATTTGACTAATAATTTTGTTATTTTGGTTGAACTTATTTTATAGATTTTTTGTGTTTTGGGTACTTCCTATGTAGGTATGTTCCAAAATTTTTGTTTTTATAATTATGTACCCATAGTTCGTAGTTTAATTAAACTTACTTACAATTTTAATACCTTCTTATTAAAACAGTATTTTTTAATATTAAATACTTCTAGAAATAATAAAACACGATTTTGAATAAACGAAGAGCAATTATTAGGAAGGTTGCAAAGAAGTTTATATTTTTATTTTTTAATTATTAGGTTGTTTTTAAATGTTTTATAGATGATTATTTTATACCAAATTTTTAAATATTGTTTATAATTTGTGTTTCTTTATTATATTGTTAATTTTAATTGTTAGTGAGAAAAAGACGTAATCAATATTATCGACTGTTACCCACATAATTTAGGATATTTTGTTTTTAATTTTATGAAGGACAGTTTCGTTGTCGTTTTAATATTAAAGTAATACTCAAACTAATTTAAATATTTTCAGGTAAAACCGTGCTATAAAAATTGTTTGTTACATTAATAATTCTAAGACGTTATTACCAAAAACATTTGTAATTTTTACTTGAAAGAAGCAATGTGTTTAATTTTTTTTGTAATAATAGAAACATTAAAAAATTAATCTATATTTTTTGGACAACCCTGAAGTCAACGATATTTTTGTATGGACAGTTTGTGATACCTGCTACAACATTGCCTATTCGCTGTGAAAAAAAAATATTTCATTCCAAACAAAAATTTAACTGCGGGGAATAAGCACGGTGTCTCATGCACACAGGAAAAATACTGGAAAGATCAACTAGTATTATTTATTGAGATATCCTTCTAGGCAATGATGCGTCTTTTACATACAACTTTGCCTACGACTTTGAGTGCTTGCAATTAATAAGAATAGCATAAATTAAAAAGATTTTGGTTCTACCTGGCAAGGCATAAGGTCTTTTTTTCATATAAAAACCATTAGAAGCTACAATAATAAATTGGTTCAGAGATACGAACAAAAAACATCGAAATCCGTGCAAAGTTGCAGCATTTTACGGTACATCACAGGTTTGCAGATTCATTGCAATTCTTGGAATAAAATATTTTTAAATACATACAGTTAATGACAAACTTCCAATCGTAACATTTTTGAAATGCTTGCAAAAAACCCTACTCTTCGCTAACACATATGTAAGTAAAGTACAATGTATTTCTCTATTTGATTTGTTTTGTGTCATGTATAGTTTAGAGTATTTACTTAACTATCTATGATATTGATAGGTTTAAGCAGATGGCATCCTTGAATTCCTTGGTATATTTATAGTTAACTTGAGCACTAACAAAGTTTGATTGTTACAGTGCCCTTTGCTAATTTAAGGGAAACCTGTTATTGGCATTACTACATTACACATAGTTATAAGATATATAATTTGTAAAACTGTTGGTTTTCTTAATAAAAAAAATGAAAAAACGATTGCAAATGGACATCAAAAGTGGTGAATTTATCCAAGATATCATGTATCATATAGTCATGTACAATATATAAATCACGCAATAATATTATTTAAAACGAGGAAGTTAAATTTGACTTAAATGCAATATGTAATGCTGGACTAGGCTGTAACGGTAACAGCAACATGTAATAAGTTTTTTGATAAGGTGTGTGGTTATTAAAAATTAATTAATAATTAAAGAGTATGTAAATAATGACCAATAAAGTTATATAAGTACAGTAGAATCTCGCAGACTCAAACATCGTTAAGACGTAATTCTCAGTAAGTCGATAAAAAATGCCATTCCCTTCCGCTGAACCACTAAATATGCGATGTCTCCAATTGCTTAGGCCTTGTTCAGTTGAATAAAATGTTATTCCCTTAGGAAGTTTTGATAGTACATATTTATACTCTGTAAATCGAAAGTAAAAATTGGTTGGTTTTTAATTAAACGCGAGTGACTCTACCACGTAAGAAATATTTCGAGTAGGTTTTAGGTGCACCAGGCTTCAGATCTGTAACTACTGCACTGTAACACTGTAACTGTACTTTGGGTGAAAAGTCGAAAGAACAAATAAAAGTGAATTCCGATTATCCACCTCGTCTGGGGTGGATAAACAGTCACTCGTTTACGAGTATCCACCCTAGGGTGGATTCTTTAGGGTGGAAAACGGAATAACCCTTCTTTTTTCCAGTAGCATTCGCCGATATGGATACCTGGTTACTCATATCCACACAGTATTCAGTTTGATTTGTGTTATTATATTCATTTACTTTATTCATATATGTTCCCACAAGTGAGGACGACATATAAGGTCACTAATAGGGTGACGCCTATTCTCCCTAGAAGGCTTCTACAACGACGTTTGGTCTCCCTCCAGCCATTCAGTCTGTTGGCGCATATCTCACCCTTAAACTTTAGGTGACTTTTTATAGAGGTTTTCTACCTCGTGGATTGTATACAGGGTTGCAGTATGTGAGGGTCATTTCCTACCATCACTTGAGCCATTATGTTACGTTGTCAGGTTAGTCAGCCGAGAAGGGGTTCCCTCAAGGTTTAGTACTATGTCCTTCACTATACTCTATATAAAGTTATGATTTAGAACTGTGTCCGGTGTGTCCTTCGGTATACAAACAAAATAGCTATTTACATATTTTTTCAGATAACCTCCTTGCAGCATGTTCCCCCTTTAATTCACCAATGTCTCATTTACAGGATTGGTTAACTGATCACAATCTGTCCTGGAATAAACATTTCCTTTAACTACGGTTCTAATGAGATTAAGCAAGCTACAAATCAGATTAGTAACAAGTGCTATCATAGAACATGGCTCCTTTAACAAACAATCATTTACCATAGGTGTTACAGATAGTCCTCTGTGCAGGGCATGTATGGGGGAGGAAGAAATGCGGAAAGTGTTGCTGACATTTCCGGAGGTTGCTGCATACAGGGCTAAACGTCTTGGCCCGCCAGGATCACTCCCCGAAGTTGCTTGCAACATCAAAGGACTGTTAAATATCTTTCGGGGAGATTTCATGGCTCGAATAATTGTATTATTCCTGCCCACACGCAAAATCCGCGCTTAGACATAGAGTTGCAGAAAACAGGCCGTCATATCTAGCTATCTTACATTACTCCATCTGACATATCAAGTATCACAACACAAATCATGTTCCATCTTTGATATTCCATATGAAGCAATAATTTACCAACCAACATCCTCATCAACCTTGGTATTGAAAAAGAATCCCCTAGGACAAATGATAAATTCCATAGTCATTAAAAAATTATGGAAATACTGGCACAATTAATTTAAACAAATACTCCTCATTTTTGTCAATACTGACATATTATTGTAGTATACAAAATTTTCTGTCATTTATTCTAGTTTATTCAAGTAAGAGCCATAATTGCTCTGAGGCTATGCTCTAGATGTAAACTTCATAGTAAACGAACAACCTGGATTCAATCCCCGCCTATACTAATGAAATTTGCCACATGCTCTGCAATAAAGGAAAATATTGTGAGGTAGCCTGCATGTCTGAGAAATAAGAAATAAATAATATTTCAAAGACATGTGTAGTTCCCCGACACACGACAGCACGGCAGACACCTTCAACATTGTTTTCCTTGCCCGAAAACACTCCCAGAAAAGAGAGGTCTGTGCCCAGCAGTGGGACGTACAAGACTTTAACTTTAATAATTCTAGTTTAATCTCTAAATCAACATTAACAAATTATAAGATTAAGAAATAAAAGACATATTACCACAATTTTCTTTCATACATGAACATCGTATTCATGCCTATTGAGCAATACTTCTACTTAATAAACCCTTTCACACTGATATTGGTGAATACATCAAATCTGCCATTAAGAATAAGAAAACTTGGCTATTTATTAGTTCCACTTATCTGTGCTAACAAAGAGACACTCACTAATTCTACATAACTTGTACTAGGTGTAAAAGTTATGCAAAAGAAGTTAGACAAAAGCAGACCATCAAACATGTAGTTACAATCGACACAATAACAAAACTGAGAACCAAAAGAGTGAGAATGAGGTCTTCTTCTTCTTTCTTTTTTATGGCGGTTTTGATCATTCGCCAATGTCAGTGTTAAAGTGTTTATTGAGTAGAATAGCTCAGCAGATACATATACTCCGCCCGTGTACAAAAGATAGTGATAATTCAAGTATCTTATATTTCTTTAAATCGTTTTCTTTAATGAATTCTAAATGATTAGACTGTTGAATTACTTAGAACAAATGACAAACACAGTTGTTACAACTACATTAATATGTTAGTAATGACAAACATAGTAACAAAGTTTTATGCTATTGTACAGTTACAGCCTTTATACGGCCCACTGCTGGGCACAGGCCTCCCCTCATTTATGAGAGGGTTTTAGGGCAAGGAATTGTCCGCCACGCTGCCCTAATGTGTGTTGGCGAACCTCACATGTCTTCAAAATATTTTTTTCTTATTCCTCAGACATGCAGGTTTCCTCACGATGTTTTCCTTCACCGCCGGCACGGAAAAACACAAAAATTTGCGAGGAACCCTTTTTTTAGTAAAGAGAAAATTTATAGGACAAGGGATGTCAGGAGGGAGATGATCATAGAGGGAACAAAATAATTTAGGACAGTTAAAAAAATATGTTTGGTGGTTCCCTCATCCAATACACATTCACAGAGGGAGCTATCCCTGATCCACAATTTGGCTAAATGTACTTGTGTGCAAGCATGGCCAATTCTAGTCTACAAATAATTGATGTTGCATGTTTGTTGGCTTTATTAAATTTGAAAAACCATGGCTTTGGAGGGATGG